AGGCGCAGGTCGTCATTGATGTGTGAGATTGTGCTGTGGGTATGCTTGTGGTGTGTTGGCTTTTCTGTTTGTTTTCCATTTCAGTTCTGTCCGTGTGACCCAGATTCTCGCAATGGCATCCAAGTCAACGTGTATTGGTCGTGAAGGAAAAAAGGGTTGGATCCGTATTTTGCCGGGGAGTGTCAATGTAGTTGGAGATTGAACGATCAATTCATGGTTGTTTGCTCAAAATCAACTTCCCCAATTTTCGCGGAGGCATCAATACGACAGTCATCGTCTCATCGGTCGCTGTTCAGAAAGAAGAGTGAAACATCGTCAGAAGTAATACAATGATTTATTATTGTAATATTTGTTTTCAGATCTTAGTTCAGTTATTATTTTTATATGTTGGTGTAACAATAAAGAAATCTCAAGCGTCAGATCGGTGTTTTGGTTTTTTCATCCGTTATAACTAAGCGTTTCTGAAATCTTCAAGGAACAGCGTGGGCCCGAGCGTAGCAAGAGCTGGGCATTAACGTTTTATGAGACGTGATTGATATAGGCAATATAAATAATTGATAATGTTAACAATGAGGATAACAAAAAATAACTAACAATAATAAGGATACAATTTTAGATAAGGAGGTATGGAATGCATCCGTGTCATATAAAGATTAACACATGCAAGCATGATTCAGGAATAAAATATCATAGCTTGTTATAATTTTAAATAAAAAATTTATGTATATAATTCATGTACATATACCATGACGTGGTCGTTTGTATTTGCGAAATTCATACATAAATTATATATATGTATATATATATATATATACTTGGTGAATGCGTATGCTTGCAGTACAGTTTAAAAAACAATTGGTGATAATACAAATAAATATTTATGGTTATAATGAAATGAATGTTGACAACAATAATAATGAGAAGAATGTCTAAATGAGGTTAACGTACTTTTTTTATGTCAGTCAATGAAATGAACATAGCGGGCGGGTTTACAGATCTGCCGTCCACTGCGTGTCAGTACAGGGGGAAGTGTGAAGAGCGGAAGAGTTGGAGTTGCGTAGACTTTCTCATTGTTTATTGGTGCAGGCGTTGCTATTGTTTCATATTCGCTGTCGGTGTACGCTGGTTTAAGACGATCAGTAGAAACAGTCTCCCGTTTACCGTGTCTGTTCAGCGTGAAACATTTATCCGTGCGTCTGAGCACTAGAAAAGGACCTTCATATGGATGTTGTGAACCTTTTCTAATGCCGTCGACGCGAACAAATACAAATTTGCAAGTGAGTAGATTCTTGTTAACCTGAGCTTTTTGAAGTGATTGGCGAGGGGCTACTGGTCGAAGTTGAAGCATTTGCTGAGTAAGGCGGTTGGTGAAATCGAAGATATTTACATCAGTTGAATCATGCGAAGGAACTAACTGACCAGGCAATGTGAGGGTAGTACCATACACAAGCTAAGCTGGTGTACATCCCAAATATTCTTTGACAGTTGATCGGATACTGAGAAGAACAAATGGTAGATGTTAACTCCACTTAGATGAGTCAGCTTGTGCCATTAGGAAGCTTTTCAGTTGTCGATGAAAACGTTCCACCAGACCATTCGCTGCAGGATGATAAGATGTAGTGGAGATGTGGTTCAATCGAAGGAGTCTCATAAACTCTCGAAACAGAGTTGATTGAAATTGAGCCCCTCGGTCTGTTGTAATAGTTGTGGGTACTCCGTAGTTTGACACCTAACGATCTAAGAAAACCAAAGCGATATTTTCTGCAGATATATCGTTGAGTGGACAAGCAATAGCCCATCGGGTAAATCGATCAATCGCAGTAAGTATATGAGTAAATCCTCTGGATGGCGGTAATGGTCCAACAATATCTGTATGAACGTGTTGAAGTCGTTTATCCGGTAAATTGAACTGTTTTGGAGGTGTGACGGTATGATGATGTACCTTGGATCTTTGACATTGCAAGCATTGGTGGGCCAATTTCCGAATATCGGAGTTCATCTTGGGCCAAACAAAACGCTCGCTGATTAACTTGACCGTAGCACGCACTCCAGGATGAGACAATCAATGTAGATGTTCAAACAAAGGTTTTCGACAACTTAGTGGAACAAAAGGTCTATGAACGCCCGTTGAAACGTTGCAGACGATAGTTGTATCAGACAGGGGAATAGGTACATCCTGCAACTGTAGGGAGGAGTTTCGTCTACAAGTATGGAGTTGGGCGTCATTTTTCTGCAGCTTGGCAATATTGTCTAGGCTAATATCTATCGAAGATAGGTGATTAACGTCACATCGGGACAAGGAATCGGCTACGATATTGGAATCTCCTTTGACGAACTGGATGTCTGTTGAGAATTGTGAGATGTAATCCAGTTGTCTAGCTTCTCTCGGAGAGTGTCTGTCCAACGAAGTGGTGAAAGCATAACGAAGAGGCTTATGGTCGGTTAACATAGTAAAATTTCGACCTTGTACTAAGAAGCTGAAATGTTTCAATGCTAGATAGATAGCTAACGGTTCTATGCCAAAGGTGCTGTAACGAGTTTGCGCAGGTTACAACTTTTTGGAGAAGAAAGCAAGTGGAGTGATGTCATTGTTGAACTTTTGTTGTAAAACTGCTCCCACTGCTACCTGCGATGCATCTGTACATAGAATGAGTGAGGCTTCTGGGTTGATGTGAGAAACAATTACAACGTTGGATAAAGCATCTTGTGCATTATTAAATGCTGCTTTTGCTTCATCAGACCACTAAAATTTCTTCGGATTGCATCTAAGTAGGTCGGTCAGTGGCTGAACTATGGAGGCACATGATGGAATAAAATGTCGATAGAAATTGAACATCCCTAGAAAACGTCTAAGTTTCTCTAAGGAATCAGGTTCGGGAAAGTTCTTAATAGTTTCTATCTTTTCCTCCGTAGGCCTAATACCATTTGCGGTGATGTGGTGTCCCAGAAACTGTATAGCGGAGACACCGAATATGCACTTTTTGGGGTTAATGACGATGCCATGTTGCTCAAATCGCTGAAATAAGATGGTGAGGTGATCAGTATGTTCTTCAGGCGACTAGCTAGCAATTAAAGCGTCATCGATGTATACAAATACAAAATCCGAACGTTGTGTGACCTGATCCATGAAACGTTGGAAGGATTGTGCGGCGTTCTTTAGACCAAATGGCACGCGCAGAAATTCAAACAAACCAAAAGGTGTGATGATGGCCGTTTTTCGATATCCTCTAGGGCAACTGGTAGGCCCTGACCAAGTCTACTTTAGAAAAAAGTGGTTTTTCCATTTAATGTAATGTAATGGCCTCCAATCATGATCAGCTTTGGGGGCCATGTGTAAGGGTGAAGACCAAGGACTATTGGAGGGTCTGATGATGCCGAGCTGCATCATGTGTTCAAATTCTACCTTGGCTGCTGCTAATTTGTCCGGGGGTAATCTACGAGGACAAGCACGAACCGGCTGACCCGTGGTAACAATCCTGTGAGGGACGTCCTCGATGTTGTACGACGGTTTGAGTATTTTAGGGAAACGATGGAGTAGGGCGGAAAAAGTGCAATCCGCTGGTCTTTCGATACTGATATTATAGACAGAATAATTGGAGATAATTCCATAGATCTTTAGTTGGGTGTTGTTATCAATCAGTTTTTTATTGTTGACGTCAACTAACAGGTTGAAATTACTTAAGAAATCAGCTCGGAGGATGGCGTGACCGACGTCGGCTACTGTGAAAATCCATGTGAAATGCCGACGTAAACCTAGATCCAGTATAAGGGATTGTTCTCCATACGTCTGTATGCTTGTGTGGTTGGCTGCCCTGAGAGACAGTTTTCCGGGTGTCCGTGTAGATCGCCTGGATAGTGAAGGAGGGATCACGCTAACTTCTGCTCCCGTGTCTACCAGGAATAAAGTGTCTGAAGTTTTGTCCTTCACATAGAAAAGGCGACTTGTTTGCTTGCCAGTAGCAGCTGTCGCCATCACTGTCTGGCTGACGTTCCCCTGAGCCTGATTGGCTTCGCTGAAGCTGCACGGTCTTACACATTTCAGGGCATGACGTCCAAACTTCCAGTGATACCAACATATATTACTGCCCCGAGAAGACGTGTGGGAACGCTGTCGTGAGAGAGGTCATCGTCGTGATGGTGACCTTGCTTGTGAACTCCGTCTCCGGACTCGTCCATCAGACCTATCAGTTTCCAACTTGTCAATCCTTACCGCTAAGTCTGCAATGGCGGCGAGTATCGGTGTGTCTGCCGTGGTTGTGGAATGACACGGTGTGGCACTATCAGATGCTATGTGACCTGTGGTGTAATCAGATAAAACATCCATTTTACTATCTGCCATGTCAGTTAGTGGGTCTAATTCATACGACTTTCCTGAGATGATTAAAATTTGCGGGACATTTCTAGGTAAACGTTGGAGCCACATCTGTTTCAGCACTACCTCGTCTACTTTACGGTCTCCGATTAACTGGCGCATGTGCCTGAGGAGCTGGGATGGTTAACGTGGGCCTAGTTCACAGCCCCTGAGTAATTGATGGATTTCTTTCTTATCTGGCAAACTGGTGCGTTGTATAAGGAGGGCTTTAAGTTTATCAAATTGGTTTTCCGTCGGGGGGTTTTCGATGAAGTCGCTGATTTCTGTCAATACTGACGGAGGGAGTTCTGCCAGCACTACACCATATTTGGCTATCTGGGACTTAATGCCCCGTGCTTCTAGCAACGGCTCAATCACTGCAAACCAAATCCTTGGTTCTGCGAAGCCGTACTGCAGTAAACGGAAATCAGTGATGGCATCTAATGTGGCGTTTGTCGCGTTACTAGTTGTCTGCTTGGCTGAGGTACTGGACTGAGGTGACGACATTATAGAAATGAGAATGTTGGTCCAGAATAGGATACAAATATAGGACCACACACAAAATCACAATGAATATACAAAATGGCAAAACTAAGAATATGAATACGTCAAAATAATCTGTGTCCTAAACGGGCTCACCTTAGAGTCTGTTAGCTTAGTATACCAAGTTTAAATAGAAAATAAAATACCAAATCAGTTAAGTTACTGGAAGAATATATTAAAGTTTTGTTACTTGGGTATTTACAAGGTCCAAAATCCACAATTAACGTAATAGACTCCTGAGGTATTGCAAGAAGACTGCTCCAATACTAATTCTCCAATGTTGATGTTGCCAGAGGTCGACCGAAGTACGTAGGAAGAAACTATGGTGCTCCTGCGAAAATTTGAAATAGAAAGCAGGTGGTTAGAATTGATCGATGGCAGTTGAGATGATGGAGAAGACGGAGAGTCGAAGGCAGAACTATATTTCCATTCAAAAACGAGGTAAAGTTCAAAGTACAGAGATTATGATTAAAACGAAGTAATATACAATATGTCCATTTCTTACATAGCAGTAAAAATTGGATAAGTTTATTTTTGAGGACTCCACACACCCTCCATGTCCCAGACACTCATACTACCCTCACGATACCGGATAAGCCCTCAAGTGACAGTAACGGAAAGACTGCCATGAAGAATAGGCGTACCAGGAGTCGAAAACCTGCAGCTCAAGTCGCCCAGGGACTGGTGGATCAGGCCTCATCCACACCGGTTAATAGCAGGCAGATAAATCCCACTGCGATTAGCGAGGAGGACAGCAATGAATGGCGTAATGTAGTCTCTCGCAAAAAGCGGAATAAAGATTACACATCGGCTACACCGTTCACAAAGGACAAAAGGACATATACGCTGCAGAGCAACAAACTGAATTGACAGTTTGCTATACAAACGCCCGCAGCCTGTTGAATAAACGGACTGAGCTGGTTAACATGATAGACTCCAGAAACCCGGATGTAATTATCATCGCAGAGACATGGCTCTCAGCTGATGTCATTGACAACGAAGTTAACCTGTCAAACTTCGAAGTGCATAGGGTGGACCGACTAAACCGAGAAGGAGGTGGCGTAGTCATCTAATTCAGGAAATGCTTAATCGTGCGTAGTGTCGAAGCATGCGCTCACGAAATTGAGTCGTGCGAACTTCTCGGCTTCAGACTTAAATGCATAGGCCAAGACATTGACCTCATTGCTATGTACAGCAGCCCTGATTGTAGTACAGATGACTTCATGATAGAGAAGCTAGGCTCCTGGACTGTTGAGTACTGATTCTCACACCGAGTCATAAATTCTTGGAACCGAATTCCAGAAGAAGTGATGTCTGCAACCTCAACTGATTCGTTCAAGAAGGGTTTGGACAACCACAGAAATTTACTAGAAAAGGATTAACATAGGCTCCAAGCCTCCTATCCTGAACCAATAAATCTGAAGTTCAGGCAAGTCTCACTGTTTTATAATTGATACTGGGAGTACTGAATCTTTAATTTCTAAGAAAGATTTACTATCTATTTGTAGGTATGCCCAGGTGGACCCTACTAGTAGTTCAATTACAGGCATAACTGGTCATAAACTACCTCCTATAGGTGCTACTAACATTTGTTTGAAATCAGACAGTGGTAATTTTGTGAATATTCCCTTTCTTGTTAGTGAATATGGTCCATCTTTATTGGGATTAAAAGCCCTTAGATTGTTAAATGCCCAAATCTCACTTTGTACTGAGTTGTTTGATGAATCTTTGTTCAGAGAATTACTTCTCCAATGTTCAAAGAGTGTAGGTGGCATGAAGATTCAGCCCATCCATCTTGAAATAGAGGGTGATCCTATCTTCCTGAAGTGCCGATTAATTCCATATGGACTAAGAGGCGCAGTTAAGAAAGAGTTAGACAAGCTGGTTGAGCAAGGCATACTTATGCCGGTTGAGTCTTCGAATTGGGCTACTCCTGTTGTTACGCCACTAAAGGCTGATGGAAAAACACCTTACACTCAATAGTCGTCTACTACAGCAAAGTCACACTACTCTAGAAACTGAAGACATTCTGTACAAACTACATGGCTCAAGATACTTTTCCAAAATAGATCTAAAAGATGCCTATTTGCAAATTCCTCTTGACGAGGCGTCTGGTGCATTGACAACCATTAATACTCCATTTGGGTTGTTCAGGTATAAGTTTTTGCCTTTTGGTTTAAAGGTTTCACCTGCAATATTTCAAAATGTAATAAATCAGATGATAGATGGATTAGATGGTGTTGAGTCTTACCAAGACGACATTATAGTTCATGGTCCTAATATCGAATTGCATAATGAACGTCTTTTAAAATTGTTCAGGCGTTTCTGTGAGAAAAATGTTCTTGTTAATCCATCTAAATGTCATTTCACCTTGTCGTCTGTATCATGCTTTGGATACACAGTAGACTCCAAAGGTTTCAGACCTGATGCTAGTCGTTTGGCACCTCTAATTCAAGCACCGTCACCTAATAATATGTCATCGTTGAGATCATGGATTGGTAGTCTTCAGTTTTACTCCAGATTCATTCCCAATTTCACTCGACGGTTATCTCCGCTTTCTGAGATTGTCTCCAGTAAATAATTTAAGTAAGAACGACAACACGAGAATATTTTGCGAGAGACTTTGGATTTTCCTAATAAACAAGCTTTCTTAAGACCTTTTTCATTGAAAGATAAATCTGTTCTCACTACAGATGCTTCTCCTATGGGTATAGCTGCAGTACTTGAGTAAAATGGACAACCTGTTATTTGTATCTCATGACTTCTAAGTAAGAGTGAACAAGGGTACTCACAAACCCAGAAAGAAGCTCTAGCAGTTATATGGGCAATAAAACCCTTGCACAAGTATCTCTTTGGTACTAAGTTTCACATAGGTACTGATCATCAAGCTTTGAAATTCATTTACAATCCAGAAAAATCTTTGAATAAATATTCTGCTGCTATGGTTCAAAGATGGAGTTTAGGACTAAGTGCATATGATTACACTATTGAACACAGGTCGGCAAAGGATAAACCTCATGCAGACTTCTTATCTCGTTATTCATTATTTGAAAATTCTGCTAATGATACTGATTGTTTGTTAGTTCAGCCGTTACCTGTGGATCGAGTTCGACTTATAAATGATGCTCGGAAATATTACGGATGCGTTATAAATGCAACAATAAGAGGTTGGAATTTTCAGTGTTAGCGAAGATTTCCAGACTTTTATAAGCGAAGAGATGAGATTTCAGTTCATCCTGAAGGATTTCTATGTCTGAATGACAGAATTGTTATTCCTCCAACATTAATATCTGCGATTTTGGATGATCTACATTCTGCTCATCTAGGAGCTGATAAGATGAAATCATTTGCATGCTAGTGGCCGGGAATTGATGCTGACATTAACAAAAGATCAAAGAGCTGTTCTAGCTGTTTGCATAAAATCTCTTATGGGAAGTCATCGTGGAAACCGTAGTCTGTGTCTTTTGAGGTTTGGCACCGTATTCATGCAGATTTCTGTGGTCCATTCTTAAATTCATACTTTACTTTAATTATTGTGGATTCTTATTCTAGATAGCTAGAAGTTATCATTACCTATATTCATAATGCAAAATTCACTCATAGAGCGTCGAGAAAGATTTTTAGTCGAGAAGGAATTTTAGATGTCTTACTTACTGATAATGGTACTCATTTTATGGAGAAAAACTTCAATGATTGGCTTAAACATATAGGTTGTCGTCATTTGTACACAGCACCACGTCATCCTCAGTCAAACGGGTTGGCAGAAAATTTTGTACGAACATTGAAGAGTACTTTAGCATCAATGAGTCCTAAGAATTTTGATGAGCTAGAGAGATGTTTGGATATCTTCTTACTTCAATATCGCAGTGCGGACCGTACAAGTACTCATGAAAGTCCTGCTAAACTATTCAAATCTCGAATCCTCAGAAAGCATCTGATGTCCACGACTTCTGATGTACATTATTACAGAGGAAATAATTATAGACCTTCTGTTGGAATCATACTACAAAAAATGGGAAATCGATTAGTGAAGATATTAGACATCGAAGATCATTCAGTTCATAACAGACACCTGGATCAAGTGAGAATAAATGAAGTAGGTCGTTCCGATCATAATTTTAGTGATTCCGCTACTAATCCTAATTTTGTAGATAATTCAGAAATAAGTCCAGATGATACTGATGAGAACAATACCACAGAATCAGTTAGAAGATCGCAGAGACTGGCAAGCAAACCGAGACTTCGTTATAAATACGCAAGGAAACATCCGACGTGTGGTAGATATGGTGATTGACAATTTCTATCTCTCTATTGTTTAAACACTTACTGTTACTTGCTAATATATTCTTATGTGAATTGAATAATAATCTGCCAAATACAAATTCCTAAGTTCATCCCTCTCTGTGTTTTGGTTGGATTCTTGTAATTCGGTCATTGCGAAATACTAATACTACTATTACAAATAATTACAACATAATATTTCGTTGGAACACATTGTACGTATCACATCACCACATTATTACTACTATTACTCGTTAGTTTGTGCATTAGCTTCAAGACAGGCATCCATGTCTATCAAAAAACGACTTGTTTTTATTCTAATTTGTTCTTCACCTTCGCTAATGATTATTAGCATAGACATCTATGTTACTACATTGAACGTTTCCTCATTCATAGCCTTCGCCCCCACAAAATGAAACATACATCATCTAATTATCATAAGTTTCGATTTAATACTTCTCGTTTAATTATCTGCATATGCATCAAAATTAAAACGAGATAAATATCGTTTTTCTTACCCGCATGTTCTTATAAAACTTTATCACTATCGCAAAAATTGTTATCACCAACCACCATCTGATATTAGATATTGTGAAAACCCCGATGGATTCAAACGAAGCCTAGAAAGGCACATTAACATGTCCACTCTAGCTCGTCTAAAAGACCACAAATCTTGGTAGAATAGTAAATGAGAGCCACTCCAATCTTCAGTGCAGTCAGTTACATATAACTCGACTTTACTACTTACGCAGGGAATGTTTAACTAATTTACTGATTCTCTATTCTCCTTAATCTTCAATAGTTTGTGTTAGTAGAAGTAATTCTAGAAACGATTATATTAGCAACCAAAACTTTTAATACCTTGTATATATATGTATATATAATTAATAATACACTTATTTTTGTGCCGAAATGACTTTACTCAGTCAATAACTACTTTTTCTCATATACTTTTCTAAAATGTATAACTGTATGACATTTCTCAGTATTTTTAACATAACAAACGTTGAAGGGTTACTTCGCAATGTCTAACGCATACCATATGAAAATCAGCCATGGAATTTTAGCATAACTAGTTCTGTTAACCAGCTGTTTTCTTCAGCACCTCTCACACATAATTTTATCACTAATTGTTCCATTACTCATTTCACCCTGCTAAACAGACTATAACTTAGTGGCTGTAGCACTGACTACTTCTATACCTCTTAATTTTTAAGGGAAACTTGATTTCCTGGTCGTTTTTAATAACTACTTATGCACATGTATGCATGTGTGAAGACATTACTGTTCAGAATGTCCTCAGGTGTCGAAGAATCTGTTGACCTAATGGGAAGCACTTGTAGTGAAAGCTATTAATGGGCAACATACTGTGTGAATGGGACGGGATCAAAGCAATGCAAAGCTGCAACTACAGTTATTGTCCAAAAACTTGTCAACTGTATTTTCATTAACTTGGATTTTTATTCTAATATTTGTACTCCTCCTGCAAAGTCTTTGATTTGAAAAATGGAATGGTACGATTTTGACTGTTGTCACTATATGACACTCCTGAGTGTGTTGGGCTGGATTACAAGGCAAATCTTTATTGAGGAGATGGGACGAGAATACTTTCGAGCGAGCGCAAGACTGTATAAGTCCTTGATTTCGCAGATATTTAGTATCTGGTATCCCAGGCACTCGAAAATTTGCAGGTGCCAGTCAGCGAACTACTTGAAGAAGCATCAGTGACAAGACTGCTTTGGTGAGGCAATGGATAGGTGCATATATCAGCTGATTGCTACAGAAAGCAGCTGTCATGGCGATGTTGCGTCTGGGTTGTTTTACGTTGTTTTCAGGTGTTTTTCTGACTGAAGTGTATTATAAATACCATATTTTAGCCAAAAAGCTTGCAAAAATAGAGAAAACTAGTCGTTTCCAGAATTCTGAGCCTACACCTGGTTGCTATCAAACTTATTTGTTACTGTGCATCAGGAATGTTAAAATTCCTTGTAGAGTCTTAATTAAAGTAAGAAATGTGAAACAATTTAGGTAAATGAAACATATTTTCCCAAAGGATGAAGAAGTGTTTTGAATATAAGGGTTATGAAAATTTCATAATACTCACAAGATTTTACAGCTGTAAAGGAATTTGAGTTGATTGGTTTGTAAGATAATAGTAAAGAGACAACCTTTTAACTATGAGGTACTTTGTTTCGTGGCACTTATTTAATATTAACCATTCTGTAATATATTTGTTTTTATTTTCCAGTTTACCATCGGTACTTCCACAATCTTTCAGCTTATTTATAGACTTTCATGAAGCATAAACAGAGCATATACGTGTGAATGATGATATTATGAATGTATTTGTGGAAATAAATATTTATAAAAAGTCTACAAGACATTTACGAGTTAATAATACTTATTGTTTATTTTTGATTGCACACCAGTCAGTAACTATTGTAATGTGTCTAGTCCTATCTTCGGTGCAGACTGAATTCTATCAGTCAAGCTTGCAATGTGGCCACCATACTAGGGACATGAGTTCCTTCAATGTTGCAGATACGCCTTGCTGATGAGTACCAACTAGCACGAAACCTAGGTCCAAAGCTTCCTGCCGATTGCCTCCAACCATCTTATACTTACTGTTTATCTAAGTGAAAAGTAATACCAACTTAGAAGACGTAATATGCATTGAAATTCATAATTACGTGTAATTGAAATGGGCGTAGTGAGGTACTTTTATTACTTTTCAGTAATTACTTCTACTGGTAGACTTTAAACAGGTGATGTGCATACCAGAAGCCTAAGTAATAAGTTACAATATTTTATGATAGCAAAATAATCAATGAAGCTGAGTAACGTGATCAACTAATACATAGGTCTAATTGGCAATATGTTCATGTAAGAGCCTGTTGATACTAAATACTAACACCTGAAGATTTCCTCTAATACAGTGCTGTTATGCAAAACATAATAGTCGGTTCAAGTGTTGGTTTGTGGGGATTTGATTGGTTTCAGGATTTTCATCATGAGCTGACATTAGTTAGAGAACCATTGGAAAACCTGAAAGTACTGGACAGCTGTTTCATCCTAGTTTGGGACTGTTCAGCAGCTCATGATGAAAATCCTGTTAACCAATCAAATCCCTACAAACCAACACTTGAATATCAATGAGAAGCTCACTAGCGACTGGCTCTATTCAGGTAGGTAGTTACCTGGGGTTCAAGTGAGAAGTCGTGACCAGTAGGGTGCAGCAGGTTGCGTGTGAGGACAAATACTCGCCGAAGACATTGGCTGGGGTCGCGCTATGTCGTGAATTGGCAGAAGTTAGGATTCGTGGGCCATAGGGCCGAGTCCCAGTGGCTTAATGGTATACGAGTTCGCCTTGTGGGAAGAGGGTCCTGGGTTCGAACACCGGTGGGTGCTTGCTGCTGACGAGTCCCAAACGGGCACGAAACAATTGTCCAATACTCCCGGGTTTTTCAGTGGTTCTATAACTAATATCAGCTCATGAGGAAAATCCTGATAATAGTAGGTTACTTGTGATCATACGTTTTATAATGTGCTTGAAGTGCCTGAACTACCAGTACAAGTCGTGTACGTATACAGTCTACGTTTGCTAGGTTATATTTCTTTATTACAATACAAACATAGGTTCGACGGCTATTTTCTTCTTAACACTAATGTTTACTAATACCATGCGCAACCGGATTAAATGTAACTAAAATATTTCATGCGAGGCTTCATGATGCACTGAGGAAATGATAACGACTTATGACTTTGACGCATTTCACACAAGTAGTACTACGTTGCCTATCATTCTCGTCGACCATGCAATGTCCTCAAAATGATAAATAAAAGAAATACAGGTAGTCGAAATAAATGCATATATTTACAGAAGAACAACAGCCAACTAAATTAAAAAATAGTTAAGTATGAAACAGTATATATTCATATTAAGAAAAGAGTTTATAAAAAAGTCAGTGAAAAAATCAGTTGTAGATTTTTTATAGCTAGATCATAGTCAACATTAAGTTCACTGTCCATCGCGTTTTAAATTTACCTTGCTTCTGATTTTCTCGTCTTTCATGGGCTGAAGCACTGGCGGTCAATTGATTTTTTGATTTGTCGTATGTAGTTACCATCGTGTGCGCTTTTGTGTAGTTTTGTTGTTTTTGTTCACAAACACCTGCGGTAAATATAAATGTAACACTTTACTATTCAGCCAAGTCAAACCGTAAACGCTACTAATTACCAACCAGCAATCACCTTCAACGTTCCAGTGAGTTCAGTGATACCAGCACTTCAGGGATATTGAGCCATGGAAAATGGAGAGACACTTCGTTATTGGGAGGAAAAGGTGTCATCGTACATATGTATGAAACTGTCTTATTAAAGAAAAAATACAACCGTAGTCGTGAGCAAGCAAATACTGTTCGGCTCAAAGTTCTACAGTAGCCTCCCAAGGGATGCGAAAGCACGAGTGACTTTGAGACGATCAATCAGAAAAATGAGGGATTTTTGCACAAAGAATTACGTGTATTTACATAAAAACGCATGAAAAAAAATATTAAACAGGATATTTTTCTCTGATATGAGTTAAAAATATATCCCAATTACAATGGGAAGCATCAGTTTTTAAATTGAATCAATATCCAAGCATGTATTCATCCGGGTGACTAAAAATAACTTGGTTTTAAGAGCCATCTATTGCTCCTATTCTTTTTTTTTAATCTTCCCCAGAAACCCTCTATTGAATTAGTATGAGTTCCTTTTGTGGGATTGACGAAATAATGGGAATTGTGGCCAAGTTAAACTTTAAGGACCACTAGCTACCAATCAGCGAATGATCCTGAGTGGTCCAATGAATTTCATCCATGTGAGTTGAAGGTTTTATTCCTCTTGATTCGAGTTAAATGCCTGCTACAACGCAGCTGCGCTTACAGTTTGGTGAGGAAAAGGTTTTCCAGTATTGCTTAGAAAGGAAAGGATTTGTTCATGTTGATGAGGATAAAAAACTTCAGCAGGTTAGTTGATGGATATGCCCATCGTTGTGCAATTTGTCTCAGAGGAGTTAGTGTCAGGAAAGGTAAGACGATCATTCTAATATTTCGTAGGAACATTTTTTGCCAGGTCCCATCGGTCCTAGATAGTAC